AATTCTCTTAGTGAAGTTAATACTCAAACACAAAATTCAGTCAAAAATCTACAAATTCAATCATACGAATTACAAACTAAAATTGACGAGTTAACAAAACAATTAGGTAACCTAAATTTAACTTAATCTTTAGATCTATGACGCCATTCAATCTCGATTTAAAGAAAAATTTGAACGCTGAAGATTATAGAAAAAAAATTAGAATTCTCAACCAGAACCTTGCAAAAATTTTAAGATTGCACGCGATATTCGCCGGAAGATTCTTTAGATCTTATCAAGAATTAGAATCTTTATATAATAAAATTCGTATCGAAACAGATAGGGTCAACCAGTTAAATTCCTCAGTCAAGGATTTAGAATTATTGATGAGAAATTTAAAAATTAATTAAGTAAATATAATAATTGTTTAATTTCATTTATTTTGACTTTTCTTTTATCAAAATGTCTAACGAAGAAAATAACCACCACGGACCCCCTCCACACCAACCACATATTGTATATGTGCCAAATTTGGATCAATCAGCCGCCGTGACATCAATGATGGAATGTCTCACCATCGAAAAAGGAACATCTCAAATTCCAAATTTCGATGGAGACAATCCACCCTTACGAGAATTTTTAGAAGATATCAATGACGGACTAACGTATATGAGCCCTGCTAACGAGGCTGGCTTCACTCGGGCTATATTACGCAAACTTCGCGGAAAAGCTAGAGAAAGCGTTAAAAGAGTGGAGTTCGAAACATTAAACGAATTGATAGATCATTTGAAACAGCGTTATTCTACACCCAAAACTTATCAATGGTATCTCGACGCAGTCACCGGATTTAGAATAAAACAAGGAGAATCAGTTAGTGACTACAATGATCGGTTACAAAGTCTTCTCAGTGGTGCAGAGCATGCACTACAAGAAAAATATCCGGGAAATGTTGATGGTACTAATATTAGTCAAAGTGGGGTCATGATGATCCCAATTAAAGATTTTGCCCTAGATTCTTTTATCAAAGGTTTACCTACTGCCATTGCTACTCATGTAGACACACGGCAACCAAAAAATTTAAAAGATGCATTGGCTTTTGCACTTCACGCCGAAGCAAATGAAGTGTATAATGTCCAAAGTACCCCTACGTCTTATCGAATCGCAAGAAATTCTGATTCTACAACGGTGCCTAATCCTGGAACAACTCCTAACATTCCTGCATACCCTATGCCTTTTGCCCCTATGTACTATCCATATCAAGCATATCCTGGCTATCCACCTTTCACCCCCTACATGCCGTATCCTCCCCCTCCACAGAATTCTCAACGACAAGGAGTTTCTATGCCTCCTCGTTAAGCATCCCCAGGACCTAATAGGTCTTTAAACTCCCAGGTGATTCATCAGACGGACGCAAAGATGAATCAAACCCCGAAGGAGCGTCCAAGGAACGTAACCTTCCAAACGTCGGTCGAGTCCTTAGGGCGGGAGCAGGGAGCGAAGACTCCCCCGTCGTCGAATTAATAGCTATTAATTTTTCCAACGGAAAAGCGCGTTTCCTAGTTGATCCTGGATCCGATACCAATCTGATCAAGCTCGAAGCCTTGCAACCAGAATCACTAATAACAACGGAAAACAAACTTTCCATATCCGGCATAACCCTACATGAAGTGGAAACCTTAGGTACTATAAGTATAAAAATATTTCAACACGACGTAGAATTCCATGTCGTCAAGGATTCTTTTCCAATTACTGCTCACGGAATCCTTGGAAGACCCTTTCTAAGAAAAGAACAGGCTCAACTCTCATTCAGACACAACACCCTTGTACTGTTGTCGGAACCAACAAAGCCCTTGTCGTTTGTAGATAAAGAATCACAAGAAGCAAAAAAGGGACTAAGAAAAGAAATCAAGCCTTTCAAACGAGTATTCACAATAAAAGCCAGAACAAAACAACCTATAGCAGTACCTACATCTTCTTTAATTAATGAAGGTTATCTTCCCAAGGTCACTACTCCAGAAGGTGTATATTTGGGGGAAGCTTTAGTGAAGAACAGAAATGGTAAATGCTACGCCATGGCTATTAACACTAGTGATGATGATGTACAATTTGAGCTGGAACCTCAAGAGATCATACCATTTGATCATTGCACATTCCCAGGAGAAGAAACATCAGAATCAGAAGAAGAGATTTCTACAACCAAATCATCTCTAGAACATCCTCTTTCATATCAAGATCGAGTATTCAAGGTTCAGGAATCCCTTCACACTTCACATCTATCTACTGAGGAAAAAGAATACGTTATGAAGTGGGCAGAAAAGTATGCTGATGTATTTCACCTCACAGGAGAAAAACTCACATGTACCCACTTGATACAACACCGAATCCCTACCAAGGATGATAAGGTCATTCACCGAAAACAATATAGAAGACCTCATGAAGCCATTGAACAAGCTAACGCTCAAATACAGAAACAATATGATGCAGGATTACTTAGTAAATCCAATTCTGCTTTCAACTCTCCTCTTTTGATAATTCCAAAGAAAATGGACAACTCAGGAATCAGGAAGTGGAGAGTAGTAATCGATTATCGTGCCCTTAACGAACATATGGTGGGGGACGCTTTTCCGCTTCCAAATATTTCGGAAATATTCGATCGAATCGGAAGTGCCCAATATTTTTCTGTCTTCGATTTGGCTAGTGGATTTCATCAGGTCAAAACACATCCAGATGATCGACATAAGACTGCATTTTCTACAGGTCGAGATCATTATCAATACGACCGCATGCCTATGGGTATCAAGAATGCCCCTGCAACTTTTCAGCGTCTTTTAAATGAAGTTTTAAAAGGAATGCTAGATGAAGAAGCTTTCGTTTACCTGGATGACATTATTGTATTTTCCAACACTCTACAGGAACACGACCTAAGAGTCAGAAGACTATTGGATAGACTGAGAGCAGCCAACTTGAAACTCCAACCAGATAAGTGCGATTTCATGAAACAAGAAACTGCTTATCTAGGTCATATTATCAGTGCAGAAGGCGTAAAACCCAACCCAGCGAAAATCGAAGCAATCAAAAATTTTCCGAAGCCCAAAGATCCAAAAGCTGTCAGACAATTTTTAGGATTAACGGGCTCCATACGTAAACCCTACAATTGATAAAGGTGATTAACAACCTGAAACTCCAACAAACAAAATTGGACGTAGAACCAATGTTCACCCTGAACTCTCAAACCTAAGACCAGAAATTACACCACGTCGCTTAATTATGACAAACAAGAAACCCGTTCAACTCTTAAACATTCTTTTGGATCCTGTGATTGATCAAGATGAAGAATCGTGCTTGCCCAATTCGATTGAAACTGTTCCTACCGTGAATGAATGGAAAGAGCCTATAACTGCAAAACGAGACAATTATGCTCATTTTATCGCCGAAGACTGTGAACCTTGTGACTCTATCAGCAAGCTCCTCATAGCCACAGAAAACATTGATCTCAAGGATCTCAAAGAAAAAGAACCTCGGGTGGGTCAAATATTGATCTCACCTCGAGGACAATACAATACCTATTCTATTGTTATTAAAACTCGACATTCAGACCCTGTCAACTGGGAAAATGTAAAAAGAGGATTAAAAGGACTACAATCCACACTTACTAAGGATCAGAAAGTATCATGCAGAATGGCCAACTCTGGAGACTTATTAGGTTCACTTCCTCAAGGATATCTCGGAAAACTTGTTACAAGTATGTTCCGTGGTGGCGATGTTACCATCACCCTTTGCCACGGAAAAATTGAAGTTCCCGCTGTAGAAATTAGACAAGGTATTCTTGATGAATTTCATAAAAGTCTTATTGGAGGCCATAAAGGTATCAGTAAAACTTACAGGCGTATAAGAGAACGTTACTCATGGCCAGGACTACGTAATGACGTCATTGAATATATCAGAGGATGCAAGGTCTGCAGAGAAAATAAATTGGTGAGAGCCAAAACACGTGAGCCGATGGTTGTAACCGATACACCTGCTGAACCCTTTGAAAAAGTAGCCCTTGATATAGTAGGGAAACTCAAAACAACCCCTAACGGAAACAGGTACATACTAACTATGCAGGATAATTTTAGTAAGTACTGCCTAGCTATTCCTATACCTGACACTAGGAGTACCACCATTGCCCATGCCGTAGTGACCGACTTGATTTCTAAATTTGGTGCACCGAAATGTATCTTGACTGACAGAGGAGCTAATTTCATCAGTTCTCTAATGCGAAAACTGGAGAAATTGTTCCATATTAAACAGATCACTACCTCCGGTTACCGTCCTCAGACTAATGGTTCTCTTGAAAGAAGCCATGTAGTCCTCTCTGACTTTATAAAATGTTACGCACACGATTACGACGATTGGGATCGACTACTTCCCTTTTGTATGTTCTCTTACAATACTTCAGTTCATGAGGCTACGAACTTTACACCTCATGAACTTGTATTTGGAAAACTAGCACGCATGCCTAGTGCTTTCCCACAAGGTCCAGAATTGGAAACTTATGGCTCTTATCTTCGTGACCTTATTACCAGACTCGATGAAACCCAAAATATTGCTTCTAGAAATTTAATAGATTCAAAATTAAAATCGAAGGAATATTATGATTCCAAGTCACGACCGTTAAAGGCTAAAATTGGAGATTCGGTATATGTTAATAAAGAAGTAAGATCTAATAAGTTTGACAAAAGAGCTGATGGACCGTATACCATTATTGCTTTTACCGAAAATAACAATGTAATTCTGGAAGATGAATCTGGTAAAAGGGTCATGAAACATAAGGATAAAATTATCCCCATATATTGTTAAATGCGATTTGACTAATCTATGTTCTAATTGTTTTAGATTATGATGACAATGGTTGCCAACATTCACTTTCTACTAATATTGGCTAATTCAATACTCTCTCCTATAGTATCAAGTAATGAAGAAGGATTCTATTTTACAAAATTCAATCATAGTAACGGTATCTATTACGAGTATTCCGGACTGGCAAAGATTTCTGCAGCTAATTGGAGAATAGCTGTCTTTCTGAACGTTGATCAACACTTTTCATGGCTGGAAAATTTAAAAGGAAAGGTAAATTCATTGATTAATAATTGTCCTTCGCAACTACCGGACTGTCAAACTTTCATAAAAGACTACCAATGGGAAGATACCTGGGACACAGCTTCTGATATTTGTAAGGAAATAACGGCAGAATTGGAAGAAGTTCCTAAAATAAAGCAAATTGCCCCCGTTAAAGTTCAAGGAAAAATGAGGATGAGGAGAAGCGTTCCCTTATTAGGCTTTATAGGGAGGATTGCTGGACCAATAGTAGGAGTATTATCCTACGAAGACGGCGAACACATTCAGGACCAAATCAGAGAACTAAACGTGGCGGAAGCTAATTTAACCCACTTAGTTGGAAGACAAACACACTTAGTTAGAGCTCAATTAGATTCCTTATATAAGCGAGCAAATGCTCAAAAGATAAATATAGAATTAATAAACAAACAACTAAATGACCTAACCAATCTTATTAACCAAGCTCATAAAGGAGCAGCCCATCAAACATTTTTCAATAACATCGGAAAGTATCTTAACAAAATAAAGACTCAGATTATTCACAATAGTAAAACTGGATCCAGATTGCTAGAAACTGTTCGAGACGCAAGAAAGGGTCAAGTACATCCTGGATTAATTTCGATATCTCAAATTCTACCTATCCTCCGCGACATTCAAGATCACCAACCCACCGTAACTCTTCCTGTAAAAGGACCAAATTATAGCTTGGAGGAAATAGTCCAAACATCGAAGACAACCGTATTATTTGAAGAAGGACACTTGAAGATTTTGATAGATATACCCCTACTAGAAAAACCGGATTATGTCTTGTATAAATTACACCCCTTTCCAGTCTTTCAGCAGATTTATGGTAACATATCAGGAAAGGTTTCCATAGATTCACCATACACTCACATCCTTGTGGATGATCCCCTTAGAACATATATGCTGGTGAAGGAAGGAGAGTTGGATTCCTGTAAACAGACGACCGACTATCTACTTTGTCAGAATAGCTTACCTATATACGAAATTCGATCACAACCCTCGTGCGAAGTACAGCTGTTGTTAAACCCCACTAATGAAATCCTAAGAAATTGTAAAATTCAATTGGAATACCAAGAAGAAGATCATTGGATTAAATTAAAAACACTCGGAGGATGGTTATATTCTACACAGAATAGTACTACTATCAATATTCGTTGCAATTCAAAGACAAGTAGTAAAATAACAATTCAAGGTTTAGGGTTAATGCAATTAGCTTCTGGTTGCTATGCTAGTACCCCATATTCTATCATTCCGTCGATACCTAAAATCCAAGGAATTACTGAATTGATATATGAATCTGAAATTGGACTAAGTATAGACTCTCTGGCTCCAAAAATTGCTTCCCTAAAAACATCCCAAGAAGAGCTTAAACTTGCCTTTCCGGAAACAAAAGGATTCTACAAGAATTCTCAATCCCTAGATGAATTAGAACAACAACTGCATGAATTTTCACTACAACAAATGGAAAAAGGATATCAACAAACTTGGATAAAAGGAACTTATTTAGGAATAATTACTTTTTCCCTGATGATTTTTATCCTATGGTTGATTACCAAGATATTCCAACATCCAAAATTCAAGAATATATCTACTTTAAAATCAAAAAAGAAATCTCATTGCATAACAGGACTCATCCCTATGAGAGTTAACGCACCACGAGAAACCTACGACGTAGCAGCTGCTTCTCTCCCTACAGCTTCACCTAGAAAAAGGTCTGATGTTAATAATGTATTCAGTCAAAAGGAATTAGAGATAAGAAAGGCTTACGCAGTTTTACCTTTTGCTGAACCTACTCCAGGAACCTCTAACGAAGACGGAAGTGAACATCGACGAAAGAAAACAGATCGGATTGAGACAACAACAAGAAGAAGTCCATATCCAAAGGTTACATATCCCGAAGTCGATTCCTTTAGTAACCAACCTACAAATTAATTAATTAAGAATAAATAATCATTGATTAGGATATCCCTGGGATGACTTATTCAATGATAAAACAATTAATTATTCAATTATTACTAATATAATAAATCAAAATATTAGTGATATTGTATTAATTAATTAAGAATAAATAATCATTGATTAGGATATCCCTGGGATAACTTATTCAATGATAAAACAATTAATTATTCAATTATTACTAATATAATAAATCAAAAATATTAGTGACATTGTATTAATTGATTAAGAATAAATAATCATTGATTAAGATATCCCTGGGATAACTTATTCAATGATAAAACAATTAATTATTCAATTATTACTAATATATTAAATCAAAATATTAGTGATATTGTATTAATTAATTAAAAATAAATAATCATTGATTAGGATATCCCTAGGATAACTTATTCAATGATAAAACAATTAATTATTCAATTATTATTAATATAATAAATCAAAATATTAGTGATATTGTATTAATTAATTAAGAATAAATAATCATTGATTAAGATATCCCTGGGATAACTTATTCAATGATAAAACAATTAATTATTCAATTATTACTAATATAATAAATCAAAATATTGGTGATATTGTATTAATTAATTAAGAATAAATAATCATTGATTAGGATATCCCTGGGATAACTTATTCAATGATAAAACAATTAATTATTCAATTATTACTAATATAATAAATCAAAATATTAGTGATATTGTATTAATTAATTAAGAATAAATAATCATTGATTAGGATATCCCTGGGATAACTTATTCAATGATAAAACAATTAATTATTCAATTATTACTAATATAATAAATCAAAATATTAGTGATATTGTATTAATTAATTAAGAATAAATAATCATTGATTAGGATATCCCTGGGATAACTTATTCAATGATAAAACAATTAATTATTCAATTATTACTAATATAATAAATCAAAATATTAGTGATATTGTATTAATTAATTAAGAATAAATAATCATTGATTAGGATATCCCTGGGATAACTTATTCAATGATAAAACAATTAATTATTCAATTATTACTAATATAATAAATCAAAATATTAGTGATATTGTATTAATTAATTAAGAATAAATAATCATTGATTAGGATATCCCTGGGATAACTTATTCAATGATAAAACAATTAATTATTCAATTATTACTAATATAATAAATCAAAATATTAGTGATATTGTATTAATTAATTAAATATAAATAATCATTGATTAGGATATCCCTAGGATAACTTATTCAATGATAAAACAATTAATTATTCAATTATTACTAATATAATAAATCAAAATATTAGTGATATTGTATTAATTAATTAAGAATAAATAATCATTGATTAGGATATCCCTGGGATAACTTATTCAATGATAAAACAATTAATTATTCAATTATTACTAATATAATAAATCAAAATATTAGTGATATTGTATTAATTAATTAAGAATAAATAATCATTGATTAGGATATCCCTGGGATAACTTATTCAATGATAAAACAATTAATTATTCAATTATTACTAATATAATAAATCAAAATATTAGTGATATTGTATTAATTAATTAAGAATAAATAATCACCTTAACAATTGTATTATATTTCTATTAATGATGTCATTTCTTAAAATCTTATCTTTGATTGTAAATCATTAACTCGACTAAGGTATAAATTAATATTACTACTTTATGAACTATTATCAGAAATGTTCATTGTAAAGAATGATTAATTTTTGAACTTACATATGAATTTATTTTATCTATTGTTAATAATGAATGTTAATGTAGGAATAATTTCAGAACATTGTATTATTCATAATGCGAATTAAGCTACTACGTTGAGAACATCGGTAAGCGAGAAGTAATTATTTTGTCAACTACTCACCTTCAATACACGAAGAAGGAGAACCACGGACGAAGAAGTTGCTGACGATTCAAATTCTCTCCAGCTCTATTTAACCTTGATGCTAATTTCCTTCAATGTATAAAAATTTCATCGAGACAAATTGGCCATTGCAATCACTCGGAACATTAATTCTTACCAAAGGACACCAACACCATATCCGGATTCCACACTTAACATTCCACATCACAATCACTGGCAGCACTTTTCCAATTCTTGTATATATAGAAAAGGGAAAAGGGACGTAATCCTCCAATGATAGGTCAAGGACATTTCGATTACTAACTATGTGGGATTCCATCTTCATGTGCAGCCCTAGTTATAATCAGCATTGATAAAATTGAATTTATATGGTATATAAATTATGGGAACAAAATGCGGTCAAGAGCGACGAACTAACACTGGATATTATGTCATATCTGGAGAACACTGCTGCATTAACAGAAGATGGTGGGAGGAGAGACTACATACAACCAGACAACCACAAAGTTTCTCGCTTCTCCGAAATTCTTAGGTAGCTGGCTTATAATTAATCTACATTGTTAAATAGTATGAATGAGCGGGTGTTGAACAAATGCATTTTTGAAAGAAAATTTAAAATAGAAAAGGCTATATTATTATATTCAATTAAATTTAGGCATATTGAGCACGGAATTCTCGGGACGATAATTTGTATGATCCGAAGGTGGTTTGTAATGAACCATAAGTTCATTTTATTTTTTTTATTCTGCTTTAAAATTCTTAAATTTAAATTCTAAATAATTGTGTGTAATCAAGACATTAATTACACAATTACTAATCCGAATTATTAATAAAAATAATTCCGATTAGTTTATTGAACCGCTTTTCTTTGGAATATAGAATCAAAGAATGTGGAATTTGTAATAAATATTGAGCCATCCATCAATGGCAATAACCTCACAAAAATGTAAAAACTAGATTAGTGATAATGTTGCGAAATGGGCAGGGAGGTTCATCAACCCTCACTGCACATTTACCAACGATTATTGACTAATATTCAAGGGTATGGTATTCACATACCAACTAAAAGAGGATTATTGCCTAAGAGAGTTCAATCACCTCTTTCAAATATTAAAGAAATTTCCACAATCAAGGAATGTCACAACAGTCCAATGACCGTGCTGACTCCTTAAAAAAATGGTTCTATATAAACCAAAGGAAGCGCCAATAATTCGCAGTCTTGGGTCAGCATAAAGAAGTCTACGCGCTGAATTATTGTATTTAATAATCGACAGTCTTCGCCGCGAAATATACCCGCTGTCTTCAGTTGCTAATTAAAACTCGTGAATCGCTCGTCATTAATTAGCTATTGAATATTCGGAGTTAATTCGATCGAAGGGTGATTTTATAAAGTTAAAAAAAAAAAGAATCCACGCGTTGAATCAAAATTATTAATTTCGAAATTCCAGTGTACTCAAGTTTTTTTTTAAGATAATATACATATATTTCGTAGTGTTCAAAGAGGAAAAGCCTTGTTTTATATTCATGTGAATGTGTAAGGACTGAGAAGTGTATCTGCGAACAATAATCTACCGAAGTACTCTAATTGGTAAGCTACATTGTAACCACCATTAATTCTTATTCATTTATATATAAAATAAAAGAATATCAAGTTTAATTAAAAGTATCATAAATTATTTCTACGCTACCTACAATTTACCTGACGAGACGCTATTGCGACTGAGTGAACGACCCACATAAAATAAGATCAATTTAAACCTTGATCAGTTGTTGTGACTCCGAAAAAGAGAATATTAATTTAAATTAATTTTCTTTAACAATATTTACAACAAATTCATATAAAATTAAATAAACATAAATTAATAATAATTAATAAACCAATAATAATATCAAATTTTTGCAAATTTTACAAATTTGACATTTTTTCGAAATAATTAAATAATTCATATAATAACAATAATAAATATTATAAATAATAATAATAAATAAATAATAATTATAACAAATTTTACCTTTGATTAAAAAATTGATACAGAATTAAATAAATCCTATAATAACTTGAAATTAAGCCAAAATAAATAATAAATAATAAATAATAATAAATTAATAAACATTAATAATAATAAAAATTCATAACATTTTTCAAATTTTCACATTTTTAAACTTAAAAAATTAAACAGAATTAAATAATTTAAATAGTAATTAAAAGTTAAAAGAATAAAATAAAAAATAATAATAAATTAATAAAGATTACTAATAATAAAAATTTATAACATTATTTCCAATTTTCACATTTTTAACTTAAAAAAAAAATTTTTAATAATTTAAATAGTAATTAAAAATTAAAAGAATAAAATAAAAAAATAATAATAAATTAATAAACATTAATAATAATAAAAATTTATAACATTTTTTCCAATTTTCACATTTTTAACTTGAAATTAAACAAAATTAAATAATTTAGATACTAATTAAAAAATTAAACAAGAATAAACTAAAATAAATAATAATAAATTAACAAACAATAATAATAATACAAATTTATAACAATTTTCAAATTCTCACATTTTTGATACAAAAATTAAACAGAATTGAATAATTTATATACCAATCTAAAAATTAAATGAAAATAAAAATTTATAAATAATAAAAAATTAATAAACAATAATAATAATAAAAATTTATAACACTTTTTCAAATTTTAACATTTTTGACTTAAAAATTAAACCAATTAAATAAATTATGTACAATTTGAAAAATTAAACAAAAATTAAAGTTAATAAATAATAATAAATTAATAAACAATAACAATAATAAAATTTATAACATTTTTTCAAATTTACATTTCGTGACTTAAAAATTAAACAAATTAAAGACACCAATCTAAAAATTAAACAAAATTAATAAATAATTATAAGTTAATAAACAATAATAGTAATAAAATTTATAACATTTTTCAAATTTTCATCTTTTGACTTAAAATTAAAACAGAATTAAAATAATTCATATACTAATCTAAAAATTAAAACAAATAATAATAAAATTATTATTGGGCCTTGGGCCAGTGGCCCAAGGATGCAGGAGGGCAAC